CGAGAGCGACTGGGAGGGCGTTNCCGGACCTTCGATTGCCTGATCGCAGCGGACTGCGTGTACACTGATACGTGCGTCCCGGAGCTGCTGCGCACGATGTATGCCATCGCCACGGAAGACACCCAGGTCCTCGTCGCCTTCCAGGAACACAACCCCGACGCCTCGCGGGCCTTCTGGGCGCTTGTCGAGGACTACTTCACCTTCCAGCGGGTACCTATGCACTGGAGAAGGTGACCACTACACAACACAACACTCTAATGGCCGTGTACGTGTGGCCTTCATACTACAGGTGCCACTGCAGCGCATCGACACGCGGTACCGGGACTCGGGCATCAACCTCCTGGAGATGAAGAAGCGCCCTTCCTTGTAAAACAGATACTGTGTGCATGTGTATATGATTGCAATCATCCTGCAACCCACATCAGTTCTATCTTGTCTTCCGACACACACGCGACACATTAGACGCAACATGCTCTCCTGTATTGTGATAGTTGATGGTGATACACACAGCCTCCTCTATGAGACAGACCCTTGAAGGTAAACAAAAAACGAACCACTAGCCTCCCACTCTCTCCCCCTCTCTCTCTCCCTCCCTCTCACCCTCTCCGTCTCTCTATCCCTTCTGGCCTAGTCCTGCGCAGGGAAGGCGCCGCGCCACTCGACGTGCGTGGCGAGCACGCTGGAGAGGCAGGCGTGAATGGTCTTGGCCGGCACGTTGGTGAAGGTCAGCTTCGTCGTGCCGCCCCACTCGTGGAAGTCCAGTAGGAGCACGTGGGCCGCAGTGGTGGACTCGAGGATCTTGTGGAGCTTCCGGATGCTCCTCGACCACTCGACCTGTCCGGTGCTCATGTTCGTCAACTTCAGGTCCGTGAGCGTGATGTTCAGACGCATCGGCGTCTCCGTGTCGTTGGCCTGTCCATCGTCATCGTCGTAGTCGTCACCATCACGCGACAGTCAGATCACCGATGTGCTCAATCGCACACAAGAAGGTGGCGACGGAGAGAGACAAACGAGTCCTTACCTTGCAGTCGTAGCCAACACCGTTGGCGCGCTTGGCCGGGTTGGCGTACTCGATGTGGGTGCGTAGGGCGTTCACCCAGGCTTCCTTGAGCGCGGGCGACTCGGCCTCGAGGATCCACTCCTTCTCGCCGCTGCGGATACGGAAGCGCTTGGACACCTGGCCCGCGTTCCTCGCGTCGCCCACCATCTTGGCGTCGACCAGGCTGCCGCCGCGCATGGACAGCTTGCCCTTGGGCTTGTAGTGGACCCTGTCGCGGATGCTGGAGGGCGGGGTCTCCGAGTAGAGGTTGAGGAACGGGTACTCGAGCTGGAAGTAGCCACGCTTCCACCGGTTGAAGAACATGCCCTCGCTCAGCCAGCCCAGCCAGCCCTCGAGCAGCTTGGGCTCGATCAGCGCTTCGCGGTTGATCGACTGCGAGCGCCGCATGCGGGTCACCTTTTGGCCCTCCTCCTCCACCTCCTCCTCAGACGAGAAGTCGTTGTCGTCGGTTAGCTCGTCTTCCTCTCCGCGCTTGTTCACTCGCTTGTCGAGCTGGGGGTCTGATGTGGTCCGGTTCAGGCATGCTACTCGATCACCTTGATCCCGCCCTCTCTTCACCACTGTAAGCTCGTGCGCGCTGCGGGACATGGCCTCTCCCGACCTGTCCTCTTCATTATCTTCATCTCGGCGAGGACCCCTGTGGGACCTGCTCCCGTTTTCGTGGTAGTGGCTCCTGTCGCGAAGCCTATCGCCCTCCCTCGACGAGTGGTCCCTGTGGTGGCGCCCGCTGCCCCTCTCGTGGCGATCCTTCTCCCTCTCCTTTCCGCTTCGGTGATGTCTGTCTCGCTCGCGGTCCCTCCCCTCGTCCCGGCTCCTGTCGCTCTCCCTGTCACGGGGGCGGTCCCTGCTCGACAAGGCCCGGTGGGAGTCGCTGTTTTCCTTTGGCGAGCGTGCGGTCCTGGCACCCCTGCGTTCGTATTCCCCCCGCTTAGGCGTCCTTTCCAGTTCTTCGTCGCTCATCACCCTCTTCAGGTCGAGCCTGGGCTTTGAGGCCTTCGACAAAGCCGAGCGAGACATACCTCCAACAAGAACAAGATCTAGCTCTCAGGTTTGCCCTTTGTGGCTCGTGAAGTGGCTCTGCTTGTGTGTTGCAATGAAACGGCCATTTCGCTTTTTGGGCTTGTTCACTGAAGACAGATCTTGATGGTACGTGGGGGGATATCCTATTGGAGAACTAGATATGATTGTTACACTAGCCCATGCCCACGCACGCGTAGAATACTTGCATCGTTCACCACTCGGCGGGGAAGATCCCCTTCCACTCCGCGTGTGTGCCCACGATGCCTGCGACGCAGGCACCAACGACCTGGGCGGTCGCGTTGGTGAAGGTCAGCTTCGTCGTGCCTCCGTAGGCGTGGAAGTCGAGATAGAGCTCTGATGGGTGGGTCGGAGGGCGCTGCATCGTCCGCAGCTGCCAGTAGGGTCGCGTCCACGAGGTCTTGCCGGTCTTCAGGTTCACCAACGTCAGATGCTTCAGCGAGATGTTGAGGCACATCGAGGTGTCCTCATCGTCGTTCGCCTATGTGCCACACTCAAAGTCAATAAACACCTTGGGTGCAATTGCACCAATCGAGGCGCGGCGTACCCTGCAGTTGTAGTTGACACCGTTGGGTGACTTGGCCGGGTTGGCATACTCGATGTGCGTGCGGAGCGCGTCGGCCCAGGCGGCCTTGCGGATGGGCGACTCGGCCTCGAGCACCCACTCTTTGCCATTGCCCTTGACCCGGAAGCGGGTCTTGGCGTGGTCGGCGTGCTTCTTGTCGCCCGCCAGGTTCGAGTCGAGCAGGCAGCTGCCGCGCATCGAGATCTTGCCCTTGGGCTTCACCGCGGCCCGCTCCTTGCTGCCCTCCGGCAGCTCTTCGTGGTAGAAGTTGAGGAACGGGTACTCGAGGTGGAAGTAGTACCGCTTCCACCTCTTGAACAGTATGCCGTCGCTCAGCCACCCCATCCAGCCCTCCATGGACATGGGCGCCTCGATCTGGTTGCGGTTGAACACCGACTGCGCGTGATGCTGGCGGGTGCCCCTCCCACCACCCGCCTCGGGCTCGCCGTCGTCGCCATCGCTTCCCAGCGCCGACCCCGACGCGGGGCCTCGGTCGGATATGGACCTCGACCGGCGGCTCAGGCGTCGTGACGCTTCCTCTTCTTCCTCCCGCTCGCGATTATCCCGCCGTTGTCGATCTGTGTGTCGTCCCTGAGCCCTGTCCCGGTCCCGTTCGCTCTGATGCGCCGAGGTCGAGCCTCGCTCCCTGCTGCGGGACGAGTCGCCCCTCCTCTCGCTACGCCTGTCGCCGCCGCCCCCCTTCTTGTCATCTCGTTCTCGCCTGTCCTCTACTCGCGCGGGAGGTGCGGTGAGCCTTCTACGGGAGGACTGACCACCACCACTCCTCTCCTTCCCCCGGTCCCTGTCCGGCGACTTCCGCTCCTCGTCGCTGCCGTGCTCGTCGGCCATCTCTCGACTCCACACACACAGCTGCAGATTAGTTCAAGGGGCACCCGGCCTCGAGGCTTGTTGCGCGAACCGTCAAAGAAGAAGAGAAAAGGAGCGACTTTCTTCTGTGAAAAAGGGGAACTCCCACCTTCTTGTTCCGCTCCGCTGCGCAACCGGCCGCCCAACAGACCGGTAGAGAAGAAGAACAGAAACAACGAGATGTACTACAACTACGGAGCGGAGGTAAGGGTGCCGGGGCTCACCGGTGGTGGTGTTTGATTTGAAAATCAAAACCACGAAGTCGAGCCCACGTCACGCTTCCTGTCGACCGTTGGGCGCACGCGAGCTTGTTGCGTCGGGTGGGGCCAAGGCGGTAACCGCAATTTGGTGGCTTGTCACTCGCCGTCAGGGACCCCAGCGAATGGCGGGTTGGGTCTCCCGAAGCTGCTGCAAGACTTTCGTGCCTGGCTCCTCTTCTTCTTCTTCACTCCTCACTCCCACCTTCCGTCCAGCCCAGCAGCCCTCCGCTAGCAGTAGTAGTCACACAACAACATGGCGGAACAGAATAAGACCTGGGTTGATGTCCAGAAGAAGGTGCGCACCACTGACCACCGCGTTCATTCTTTTGATTCGATTTTTTTCCCCCGATTTTTGTAGAATGCACTGCCGCCGTCACTACCCAGGTCATTCCATTAATTAACACGAGTTCATTGATGATGTGCGTCATGACAGGCCTTCACCCGCTGGGCCAACCAGTTCCTCTCGGAGAGGCGCCTGAAGATCGAGAACATCGAGACCGATCTGGCCACTGGTATCAACCTGTGCAACCTGCTCGAGATCATCTCGTCCAAGTCGCTCGGCAAGTACAACCACAAGCCCACCATGCGTTACCACTACCTCGAGAACAACGGCCGCGCCGTCAAGTTCATCAAGGACGAGGGCCTCCAGCTCGTCGGTATCGGTCCTGAGGGTACGTTCACACTACTACTACTACCGACTCTACACGCTCTTCTTGCAATTTACGATTCATGTCTAATTTAATTATATTATTTTTGGCTCCACTACTCGAATGAACGAACAGATATCGTGGACGGCAAGCTCAAGCTTATCCTGGGTCTCATCTGGACGCTCATTCTGCGTTACCAGATCAACATGATCGGCGAGGGT